AAGAACCAAACCTTTTTAGTCACTAACAGATCATTTGAGGACTTATTTTTAAGTATTTAAAAACACTTAAAATGTTAACGATGTCAACATAACTGACTTCTTTCAGATCAGCATTGAAATACCAAGCAGAGGACAAGTAAAAGATATGTGAAAGTGATCTTACAACTGAGAAAAGGAGGCACTTTTTTTACACAGATTTGTGGCAGTATGGAACTAGCTAAAACATGTTGTTGAAGCCAATACCCTGGCTTTTTTCATGAAATGACGAGATGAGATTAAAGTCTTTACCGTATTAAAACAGGGGTTCTGTGGATTTCATGCATGTCCAAAGCAGGAGAATAAATGTGAAGTAATTTTGCCTGTGTAGAAACTAGCAAACTGTCTATAGTAACACCTTCACCATACAATTAAAAGTGCCAGTTTAAGGACCTTTTTATGGCTGATCAAAACCAGTTGAATGAGTTGAGATAGAATTTTACGGTAGTTTTTCACTCTACTTTTGTTTCTTTCACTGGGATATTGTTCCTTCTGTCTAAACCACAAGGCCGATTAAAGACATTGGTCTACTTTGTTCCAAATCATTTTCTTTCCCTCAATCATTAAAAAAAAAAATTCTACCAACCAAAAACTTATGCATTTTAAAGACAAATATAGTAGATTAAAGCATTTAAGTAGGTTTTTTGAATTTCTAGACAATACTGGGAGCAATTTCTGTAATAAAACTATTCAGTTGCAATCCTGTACATTTCTGTATTAGTATATGATGGTATATATATAGTATATTTAAGTTATGCTTCTTACACTTTTCTGTTTGTACATGTTAAATTGAATGACAATAAAAATCATTAGACATTCAGTTTCTTTCTGTGATTTTAAACCATGAATATTACCAAGCCACAGGTCTAGACATGTTTTGAATGATCTGTATACTGTAGGTTAAGTAGAGAATAGAGACATTCAGCTTTTTCCTCTGTACTGTTTCCTCTGAGCCTATTGACTGCATGTAACTGTCATCTGTATGTGGTATGGTCATTGTGTGTATATATGTACGAAATATATATCACAAGAGTGTGGTGTGCCTGTTGAGCAGCCTGATCTAGAATCTCTAGAGAGTTTTAAAGATAGAGTCTAAACCCGACTAACATGAATAGAAGCAGCCACAACCAAATTAAAAAGAAGCATGTCCTTGGAAATACACTGTAACAGCTGGATGACAATAGTGTCAAATGGATCTGTCCTCTGTTACCAGGCCTACCAAGTGTGATGGATAAAAAGGGCTGGATCTTGGTACAGTACTTTGCATGTACGGTATTTTGTCTGTTATGTTTTGAATAATTTTCTGGCTCACAGGCTGTGATCTGCAGTTAGTGTGACATTTTAATAGAATATGAAAAAATGAAATTTTCTGTCAATACTAGTTCATTCTTAGGAACACTGGTCGGGTGTTCACAATTAGAAGTAAAACAAATACCAGGGACTAACCCGTGTGATCTCTAACCAGTGAACTCACTATGGTTATAGCACTGGTCACAAATAATTCAATCTTAATTTTGTTCAAAATAGTTGTTTTCTTATTCGCAGGTAGTTTGAAGTCAGTGGTGATACAGACTCAAATATGAGCATGCAGAAGTGACATGAGATAGCTGTTGCACTTAATATAAATTGATGCTTTTCTTTAAGATCTAAGACTAAAAATGCATTCAAACGGAACATTGCTGACAGTAAACGTTGTTGAAATAGTTTTTTTTTAATAGGAGTCAGCCTCATTTCAAGGACTATTCTGTTGGCATGCACTCGGCTGAAGCATGATGAGAATGTACCTTTGGGAAGAGGTGTATTGTAATGTACAGAGAAGTATTTTACTCTTATACAGTATTAACAGGGCACTGCGAGGTTCTTTGTCCTTGGTTCACACATCTAGTCTCATTATATGCTTAAGTGGAAAACAACATTTTGCAGTGCAGTGCGCTAAACAGAGTAGCTCAACGACAATGCAAAAAATGCAGAATAGTGCGATAATATCCTAAAAGTACACAAATCCAAAATAAAGTGCAAGGTTCTGGAGCTCCAGACGATGAAGTAAGGGATTGAAATAAAATGTACCTGAACAATAAGCACGTTGTAGACCATAGAGTTCGGCGAAAGGTGGTTAGGGTGTGATCTCAGACCTCAGAATCCCATGGAGAGAGAACTCTGTATGTGCAGTAGTTCCTCCTGCCTGTAGCCTTGCCTCTCAGTGAAAACTAAAAGCATCTTAGGGCCAGGCTCTCTGATGGAGCTTCTATGTGAAATCGATGAAATGCAAGATGTAGTTGAAGCCAGAATGCGAATAATGAAATATCCATATAGCAGTGTTTAACTCTCACCATGATAGAGGAGCCCTTCTGCTATACCGCCATTGGCCATTAAGATACCAGAAAGATGTGTGCCCTTTGAGACGAATCACCTTGCAAAAAACCAACATTGGAATGCATATTGCGATTTAGAAAAACCTTTTCAGAGCATTAGTCTTTCTGGGATTTCAAACGAAAAAGGCATACAGTGAACTCTGCTCAGTCTTCATAGCAGAAGATGAAAAGGTCCCTTACTGAGGAGTTGGGACTGTGAGAAGTATTAGGATTCAAGACCCCAGTCTTACTGCCACTAGCATGAAAACCAGAAACATTTGACATAACATTCAAAACAAAGTTTTGTTTCGGAGTGCAGTGAATAATACAGATGAGCCACTGTCACACTGAATTGGATAAGTGGCTATCGAAAGTGATATTCGTATCGCAATTATTGTAAAATGTTGTCATCAGTGGCACCGGCTAAAAAATAAAAAGGGGATAATCTGGCCACCCTGATGTTTTAATAGCATCATAGTAAAGATGGATATTGATTGACAAAGGAAAGAAGCTTTTGTTGCTTTGGTACAAAAGCACAATAACATCAGTTTACAGCACTGAGAGCTGTAAGATCAGTGCTCCCACAGCACATAAAACTTATATATAGCTGCGCGGTCCAGTATAACGTGTCTTTGCTTTCATTTTAGCGGACATATTCTGTTTGAAAAAAAATAATGTGGCCTTAGAAAGGCCTTGCACGTAGACTGAAGATCTTTTCTTCGGTGTCGTCTCATTGCTCAGGTAACATGAAACAAGCATTTTCCGTGTGTGTAGAAAAACAAACTGGAAATCCTCCATACTTACCTGCATGGTCGAACTCCATTACTTAACGCCACAGAATGACAAAAACAAATCGCTGCAGGTTAGAAACGTGGGCAGGTTCCTATGCAGGCTTTTTGTGTAGATTCAGCAGTTTGCTGAGAAGGGACCTTCAGGAATTTATTTACACTTGCCGGGTGCTTTAAATGGTCTGTTAGATATTTGCCTTGTTATCTGTTGTTCAATAACAATTTGTTACACAAGCCAGTTGTAGAAAGTATCAAATAGTTTGAGTAGGTAGCTGTGTCAGCATTCGTAGGCTGCTAAGGAACAAGTAAAGGTTTATTCCATGCTGAAAAGAGAAGAAAAGAAACGCAACGTTTTGACTGTGGAGCCTTCTTCGGCTGCAGGAAAGATTACAATGCATTTTATACACCCAGCCATTTGCAGCGGAGCCGGAGCCTATCCCAGCAAGCAATGGGTGCAAATTAGGGTACACCCCGAATGAGATGCCAGCCCATCGCAGGGTAGACACAGACATGCCCACACTCGCAGCTAGGGCCAGTTTTCCCAGAAGTCAGTTAACCCATGCAAACAGGGAGAACATCCAGACTCCACACAGACAGCACCCCAGGAAGTGAACTCAGGGGCTCACTGTGCCACCCTGCTTTTCCCACCTGCATGTTAGCATGACCTGATATGGAATGCGTCAGTAATGTACAGGAAGTGCAATAGAACCCAAATTGATTGATTTTGATTCTCCACTGTGCATGCCTTGACTTGGTTCTGGTCACTGGTCGTGATATTATGAGACTGTGTCCTCAAACATGACCATGTTCACAGTGTCTTGTTTGTGAAAATAAACACTTCCTGTTCCTGTATTTTATTTATAATCCTTTGTGCTTGCAGTTGATTCCTACATTAAAAAAAGAGATACCAGGTCATGTTCTGTCTGCCTTTCCATTTGCCAGATGGGAATTTAATTATATTTTTCCAGAGTGCCTTGTGCAGTCTCTTTTGAGAGACATTCAGTTCCACATAACCACCATGAAGACCCATAGAGCTTGAGCACAGATATTACTTCACATACTTCAAAATAAATTTCAGAATGAGATCTGAAAGCAACATGACTTCAGAAAACAGATGTCTAGTTAGAGATTACCAGTGCTTAAAAAGCAAATATGGTAGCTGTGGAACTGACATTACTATGAAATCTCCTGTTTGAAACCTTTTTTTTATTTCAAGTAGAAAAGGCTATCTTTCAGCTGTGCTTAAGTTCATATCCAGGAAGTGCGGATGTTGAAAATCATATGAAAGAATAGAAAACAAGTGCTGTAAAATCGGGAATCAGCAGACTTTACAATCACCTTTTCGTCACCTGTGCCCAGTAGTGAAGACCAGGTGTCTCCACTCTCTTGGCAGGTGCTGAGGTATTTTTCCTCACTTTGCAGCACAGTTGGTCCAGGCCCTGGACAGCCGCCCCAGCTCAGGACTGTGGTTTTAAAGGTGCATTAAAACATACTCTACGGGAGAATGTGCTGTAAAGCTGGCGGTATTTAAGGAATGTGCAATCTCACAGGCACTTTCATCCTGGCACCCCTGAGGAAAGAAAAGGTCAACCCAAGTGGGCAAGGTTTTACCTGCACTGTAACAGCTGAGTGTGTCTTATTGTACCTCTGTCACACTGTCGCCGAAGACAAAGAGAGGTGTCAGGGGGCAATCTGCAGTTTCTCATTTCACCTTATCTGGAACGTCCCATGCAGCTGAAATGAAAAAAAAAAGAGCCTCGCTTCTCCTGAAACTGAGACAGCTAAATGCATTTGTGAATGCTGAGCCTGCCTTTGTGTCTCCTAGAAATACAAGCCGGGCAGATGTGATGACATCCTGAAGTGGAAACCTCCCAGCCACAACTCCGTCGATTTCCGTCTGAAAGTCACTAAAGTAGGGGGAGAGGGGTAAGTAACATCAGAAGCAATTAATTATTTAAACATTGCTTTGCTCCTTGTACAATAGTGTTACAGAATGTTACTTTTCTAACCTGTGCAGTAGTGGATGAAAATCTGACCTCTGCAACTACCAGATTTTGCAAATGTCATTTAAGTTTAACATTAGAGAGCAAACGTTCTGCGTGATACTGCATTTAATGCACATTCATCTGGCTTTGTATATGTTTGATCATTTGTGTTGATCTGATTATTACTGGACACACTTCCTTACTGTAGGTTCATTTATTTTTTGAATGTATGTCATGAAATGCTGCTTTTCACTGCTCAATGTCTTTTAGGTATAACTTTTTATAATTTTTGTTTCAACAAAGAGTTTTCGTAGTTGCAAGGACATGGATACATCGCTAGTTTTATCTTTTGCTAGTTTGTTTCATAAAACACCAACACGGATATATAAAAAGCCGAACATGGTTTTCCCTCGACATAAATCAAAAGTTTAATAATAATGTGCTCAGGTGATTTGGAATTAGGTATCAAAATGGAGTAAAAAGACAAGAGCTGGCGGACAAGAATTGTTTCAATCCTCTTACTGCTGTGTTCTGTAAATCCTGACATCCTGAATTAAGGCTGTGTTTTATCACGCCGTCAGCAACACTGACTTGCAGGCATTTCCCCATCATTCATGCTTATATGACTTAGCATCTTATTAGGGACTTACTCTCCTGTTGAGCCTGTTATTGTGACATCCCTCCCTCCAGCAGCTGTTCATTAGATAGCCCAGATCCCCCATCCTAATGACAGCCACGACCACATCTCAAACACCAAGGCTCGCTAATGAGACACAACACCTTTTTGCTCTTCAGCTTTCCTTGTTCGCTTTTCTAGAGGCCTCGTCCTTTTTCCAGCTAATTAAGAGGTAACGGTTTTCTTCCAGACGTTAAACATGCAAAAACAGAAAAGAAACGCATGCGTTGTTTGGCATATACAGTAGATACAGTTCTGTAAATAAAACCTTCTTAGATTTTAATGGTTAAAATAACCTACCAATTAAATTATCAAAGTGAAGTGTAATGTTGATGCTGAGCTGTGGTATCCCTGTATTTTACTTGGCTGTTTGCTTCAAATTAATAATTGAGGCAATTAATGTCAATTTTGTCATTAAAGAATTTTAAAGCCAGTTGGCTTGAAGTCCGAAAAGTCTTAAAATGTGTCTAATGGCCAGACTGCTACTGCTGGATTTGTAAAGTTAGATTTAGCAAATAGTTTAACCTTCATACTCACCATGTATTAGAGCCAAGGCTGTATTTATGACATGTATTAAAGATGACAAAGTTATAACATTATATCAGAATGTCTTCTGAAAGCTGGCTTTTCCTCATACAAAAATCTTCTACCATTTAAGCTTTTTGCAGTTCAGGCATAGTTTTCCTGTGTGTTGGCAGGCTGCTGGTCAAACAGTATGATCTGCCATTTTATATTGTATGCTAGAGTTAAACAGTGAACTAAAGCAACAGCATCAGCTCTTGATAAAGTAAGCAATAGCAGATCAGAAGTCCTGGAAATACTGTGTAAAAGCCACAAGCACACTTCCCATACATGTCCAATTATTGTGTGTAACTCGAGCACAGTGTACAATAACATGTGAAACATATTAAAGTTAATGACATGTCTAAATAAATTTAGAAAGAAATGTACAAATGAAAATAAGTAGGAAAAGTTAAGAAAAGATAGGAGGTTTATTATAACATCAATCCATATTTAGATTAAATCCTAGCAAACTTTACTGTGTAGTAGAAAAGAAACGTTAAGTTCTGTACTGTTACTCAGTGATCATGTTCTACCAATACGTAATTGTGCATCTTTTATTCTGAAATTCCTGCTGCAATGCAAGAAAGTCGCATTTCCACGCGTCATAATCAGCTGCCTTTTCTTGGCAAGGTGTCTGACGCCAAAACCGCTGGCCTTGCGCCTGCAGGTGTGGGATCAAGAAATTCACCAGCTGCTCCCATTTTTAAGTGTTTTTGCTTCTGCATTTGGTGTCTCCCGAGCGTGTATTTGTGGGGTTGGAAGGGGGTGCCCAAAGCCAGAGGGAACATGCTGCTTGCTTATCGGTGCTGAACGCTGTTTTTTTGACAAGTCGGAACTGCGAGCTGGCCGCACGCCGTCCAGGTTCGGATGAGCCAAGGTAGTCGGCTCTGGCGTATCGGCGGTCTGGGACTTTCCTGGGCTCCGGAGAGGCCGTTGTGTTGTGAGAGTCTCGTCTCTTCCACCGACTCACACCATGGAAAAATGGCGACCATCCGTGTAAAGTGCTCCTGTTCAAAGAAAGATTTCCCTGTTGTTTGTAGAGGGGTCTTTTTCCATCGCCACTTGTACAGGCATGTACTCTTGCAGATGGTTTTTTTCCCCCATTAATTCTGGAAAATCCTGTACTATCTGCAGTCATGAAACAATTTTTTGTTTCATGACAGCAGAAGACAGAAGAGAAATTGCAAGCACTGAGACAGAACTGAACAACGTCAGGAAGCATATAAATGAGGAGGTCATTCGACCCAGCGGGTTTGTTCGGTTTGCAGTAGCTAAGTGATCTGAGGATCTCATTCTAACTTCTTTTTTTTATCCAAAAGACGTCACAGTATAGACTTCAACAACATGGGTGGATTGCTTGTTCCAGACTCCCACAGCTCTTTGTGTAAAGAATTGCCTCCTGTTCTCTGTATCGGAAATAAATCAATAATTCATGGTTCTTATCTGCCATACAATAATAATGCATACACTACTTCCCTGCTCCTCGCTGACCTGCTGTTTTTTAATAGCTTATGGCATTAGTGAAAACGGCATGAGGAACAAAAGTGCTGCCTTAATGTTGAGCCGCAGCGCTTCTCTGGGACTCTGGGAACTCTTCGTGCCCCAGACAGGCAACAGGATTGATAGGCTTGGGCAAATATTAATATTACAGAACCACGATATCTTTGTTTTGTGGTGCAATGAAAAGCAAGTTTAAAAATGAAATGAAAAGCAGTTTTTTTTTTAAGTTCAGCAAATTTCTGACAGCCTTCTAAAAGCTTTTGTTGGGGGCCGCTTATTGAAGGTTATCAAGAGTTTTGCACTGTAGTGTTTTTAAGCCCACACTCATCAGCCTTCCACCTCCACTTTCCCCTGACTAAGAACCTACAGTGGAGTCTTGACAGGGTTTTTGTTTCTCCAGAATTGTTTTTGTTTTGTTTCCTTTTGTTGTTTAATGTTTTTTCTTTACATTCTGACATCTGGTTGTATTATATGTACCGTTTCTGTGGATAATTCATACAAATTATCCTTTTAGTTTCTTCAACAAAGAGGCCTTTTTGTATCTGTTATGTTTTTGTATTTTTTCCCTATCAGACCAAACTCTTCAGAAGAGGTTGCTCAACAGTTCCTGCGCCAGCTGTTAGTCTGTTGGGAGTGCGGGGAGCTGGCTGCTTGGTCCAGCTTGTCTTGAGCAACGCCGTCTGGGGGCCAGTTAACATTCGTGATACAGGGCCAAGCTCACGCATGCGCCCCGATCTCCAGATCTGTCTTTTGCGTTTTGAGTTTGGCCCAATGTTTTCTTTCTGTGTTTTTTATAAGTGCTCACTAGCTATCCTGAGGATTTCCTGTGACTGGCAGTGCCACTGTCCTGTGTCAAATTTACCGGCCGCAATCTTGTTGCACGAGAGGCTGAACAAGTTGAGGGTCTGCATTAAGGCCTTTTATTTAGCTGCTGTTTGTCGTTGCCTAGGCGTTTTTCATCTCTAGTCTGGCCTCCTACATGGTGGAGCCCAAGACACGTTACCAAGGTTATCATACACCATAAAGCATCGATCCACCTCAGCTCTGACCCTGACAGCGCCTGGCAGGGCAGATAAAGAGATGCCATCTTTCCCGTTGCAGTACTGCTCTTTACTTCATTCCCAGTCGCTGCACCCGGACAGGGAAGTGTGGCTCATTAACCATGCTGTCAGGAAGGTCTGCATAAGCAGGACCACTTAGATGTCCCGTCTCTCTCATCTTTCTCACCTTAATGAAGGTGAGGGAGCACCACTGATGCCCCCCTGGAGTGGAAAAACCAAAACGAATATCTCCAGCCCAGAGCAGAGGAGCATTCAAAATAAAAATAAAAAAATCAATAGTTAAGCTGCTGATGTTTTTTCCAATTAATATTTCCTGTAGAAACCTGCAAAGATGTGACTAGCGTTCGTTGACTGATGTTGAAAAAGTAATTTTTTGCTAAAAAGGACATAACGAGACTGCATTATATGTAACGATTTCTAAATTTATTTTCACGTCTGAATATTGCTGATTGGAATTACATTTACCATAAATTCACAATTGATTTCCCCTGGATGATTTAAGACTAGGCTTAGAAAGTTATTCTGTTGCTAGACCTTATCATTTAGGGATTTGTTCCTCAGCAAAACACAAAACAAGCTGCCTGGGAAACAAAATGCATATATACTGTCTTTAATATATAACCGTTCAAATCGAAGTTTGCAAGGAAATTGTTCATGCATGCCCAGTAAGCTTATCTGTTCTTGTGCAAATTCAAAGGAGAATATTGGCTAAGTGTATGCAATGTAATGCTTTAATCCAGCTTACTTCCCTTGCCAATAAACTGGGCAGTGCAAATATTATATTTCCATGTGTTCCTCTTTGCATTGCAATGAGCAGAGCTGTGTACACTGTGTATTTTTTAAGATGCACAGTAATTTGAAGTGTCTGGTCCTGAAGAACTGGTTTGCATGAGTTGTGTACATAAAACAAACTCATTTTATATGTGTTTTTGATTGCGGTTTTACATAAACAGAACTTCATTTTTCAGGCGTTCACTGTCCGAAACCAATGTGCTGCTAGCACGCAGAGCCGCTGAGCAGAGACTATGAGTTTCTGCCTTTACCAAATGAGCCATGAGAAAGCCTTTTCTATGGGTTTTCAGTAACAATAACGTGAATATACACAAAGAGTAGGTGTGTGAAGAAGCCATGTGGACCACA